TTCTGGTTTCTCCAGAAATGAGGTCCCTCTGGAGGGGTAGGTGGGAGGGGCAGCATGACAGTCTCACCTGCTGGAGGTCAGCAATGCTGAACCTGTGGGGAGACTCCAAGAGATAATTCCTGTGGTTAAGCCTTCAAAGAAAACACAAGAGATTGTTTAGAAGAGTTTCGGAGACTGGGCCAGCCTGTGCTGTTTGTTTTCATTTGGCAGCCCTGCTGGCCAGGCAGGACTGCCTCCTGCTGGGGCGGGGCAGGGGCTAAGAGCACATGTCAGCCTGCCTGCGCCCGGGACTGGACTCCAAGGTGACTAACCAGCTGCTGGGACCTTGGGCAGGTTACTTAACCTCTCTGAACCTCAGGTTTCCTCCCCTGAAAAATGGAGTTGTTTTGAGGATTAAATGACGTATTTATGTAAAGCATCTGCCACAGTGCCTGGCACACAGTAATCACATAATTGATAATAATGAGGACAATGATGACGAATGTTAACTCTTATGCCAGGAACTGGGCTAGGAGCTGTACATGTATTCATTCATTTAATCCTCAGATCCTCACAATAAGCCGTGAGGCTAGAGCTATTATAATCCCATTTTGAGAAGAGGAAACACAGAGAGGGTAAGTAACTTGCCTGGGGTCACACAGCCAGTTAGTGGCAGAGCTGGAGTCTGAATGCAGGTGTCTGGCTGCAGAGTCTGCACCCTTATCCTCCCTGGTGAGGCCTGTAGTTGTCGGCTGCTGTAATTACCACCGTAATCACATACCAGGCACAGAGCTGGGGGCAGAAATGCTCGGGATATGGCCTCTGCCCTCCCGTAGCTCCTGGTCTGGCCTCGGGACAGACATTCCTCTCTGGTTTCAGTGGCACGTGTGAGGAACCGAGATGTGTCCGATGCACAGCAGATCCCGTTTGGGAGGTGGGGGCAGGGAACAGAGGACCAGGCCTCCGCCGCCGACCCAGCTCTAGTTTCCACCACACCAATGGCAGGGATCCCGCCTGTCACATCCTGAGGGACAGAGAGGAAGCACCTGCCGAAAATCCCCTGGTACAAAAGCCTGCCTGGCCTTGCTGTGTGTGCATGGATAGTGGGGATGGGGAGGGGAGAACACTCTGTGTCACACGATGCTTGGGAACCTGCCCCAGGATGCCCTGCACATTGGGGGGCAGTATCGCGCCAGTGCTGGGTCTGGGTCCCCAGTGTGTGGGCTGTGTGGCATCTAGAATGGGGGCTCAGCCGTAGTCCCCCTGCTGACCTCAGCTGTGGTCCAGGGGGAGCCCCACCTGGGGTGGCGGTGATGAGTCCCACCAAGCAACCAGGCAGGCCATGGAGTGAGAACACTGCCAACCGGCCACTCAGCTGACCAAGCTTCCAGCTTTCTGAGGACAGGAGGCTGCCATTTACCACGAGGAAAACACAGGTGTGGGGGATGGGAGGGACACATGGGCTGGCTCTGAGCTGGCAGGCGGGTGGGGCTTACTTGGATGGAGAGTTCTGTCATCTGCCCTGTGACCACAGTTATGGAAGCCCTGGGAGCCCCTGTCCCCTGGGCCTGTCACACTCTCAGCGAGGCCCTGCAACTGGTTTCTCTGCAATGCTCAGTCAGGCCAGAGGGGAGGGAGCGCTGGCCCCGGGGTGAGAGGCCACTTCTCCTCCTGCATCCAGGAGAGAAGCCACCTGCACTGGGGCGCACCCCAGGCCTGCTCTGGGCCTCAGATTCTCCAGCCACACAATGAGGTGGCATGAGGCTGACTGCCTGGGAAGGGACCAGAGGAATCTCTATGGCTCTCTGGGAGAGAGTGCAAGACAGAGGAAAAGGCTGCATCTTAGCTCCTATAAGTAAGGGAGGGGCCCTGGCCACCCCCTGGCCACCCTCCCTGGACGTCGGGAGGAGCACCTGAGGTCTGGGGG